CATAGTTGGGTTCGCCTAGAAAACGTGACTTTTGCTAATATCTCGAAAACTATTTATTTGTTAAAGTAAATGGATTCATATTCTAGTTCAGCGGCCTCAAATTCATCTAAAAAGTTTAATTTCAGTGTTAAAATAGATCTAAAGTAGTGTTACTTTATACTAGTTGCGTTTTTATCTGCCATTTTCTGCGGGCAGTCTTTTCAGATTATATTAGCCAAATTTCTAAGCTTTCAATTGAACAAAGAATAATAACGCGATCTCTCCCGGGAATACAACAAATTCCTTAATATTCACAAAAATTAACAAAAAAATACTCGTTGAAAACCACTATTTTCGTTACATTTAATTTGAACTTTTGCTTAATAAAATGATTAAAAAAATTTACCCTTAAATGCATTATTATGGTCTGTATGCGGATCCATCACTACTTTTTAAGAATATAATGCAGTAATCAAAATATTAACTTAAAACCGTCACGATCTTTCTAGAGAGCGAAAATTTATTTATAAGCAGCGTTGGAATATTCTGTTTCCGGTCAACGGTGAGCTTTTGCTGTGCAAGTAAGAAAAGTGAGGGGGACTGGGAAATGTTATTTGGAATGTTCTCTATCGAATGTGACTAATTTTTTAAGTTTTCTCCAAAATTTTGTCAAATTGATTTTTGACCGCCTAAATCGTTCAAATACCCCTATGTGCATAGTGCCAAACTCGATCGAACGCTTGTGAGATATCTAGAAATGCAGCTGTGCAGTATTTGTTTTCCTCAAATGCTGAGTATATTTTCTCAACAAGGCTATGTGCTTGTTCGATTGTGCTGTGGTTTTTCCTAAATCCAAATTGATGGTGGGTATGAGCTTTCGTTCTTCTATAATTGGATATAGACTTTTTAGGAAGAGCACTTCCATTATTTTTGAAGTGATTGACAGTAAGCCAATGGATCGGTATGATTCAACTTTCTCAGCATTTTGTCCGGGTTTGAGAATTATTTTCACCTGTGACACTTTCCACTGAGCAGGAAGAAGGCATGTTCTGATGACTGCATTATACAAGTAAGTTAGAAAAGTAGCCATGAGCTTTCTTTGGCTTAAGATTTTTAATTGCTGTTTTTACTTCAGATATGGAGAATTTTTTTTATGGGTGGACCCAGTTGAAGGGGCTGCTGAGTGTAGCGTTTATTTCGTTTGTTAAACTGATAGAGGGTTCTATGTTTTGTGGGGTAAAAACAGATTTTAAGTAACGGGCAAAAGTGGTTGCTTTTTCTAAATCGGGTTTAGCCCAGTCCATTATTATCCATTCTGGGGGCAGATTGATATAGAATTTTACATTTAGAATTTTGCCTTTTTATCTTACTTGCTGCCTTCCAGAGGGAGTAATCAGTAGCTGCAGTTGCATCAATACTGTTTAGGTAATTGTGTATTCGAGCATTTCGTTCAGTTTTTTAAACATCTTTGAGTTCTATTGTGAGTTCACTTAATCGCTTTTTGTCCTCGGAGTATCTGGTTTGTTGCCACCTTTTTCTGGCTAACCGACTTGGGTCCACTTGTCAAATAAGCTTAAATTGGCTACACAAAGAAAAAAGTAACATGATTTTTTTCAACCAGCGTAATGTTCGGGGTTGTCATTTTGGCGATTTGAACATTTTGAACAGAAAAAGTATTTTATAAAGCATTTTCACATTGTCATAGTTTACGGCTCATTCGTAATTCATAAACAAATCAAGTAATTTTGCCCTAAAATTCAACCAGTTTCAAATCTTGCTATCATAATTTTAAATTTTTTAATCAGATTTTTTAGAAAGATTTTGAGCATATATTTTTATAGCCAATTTAATTTCAGTATAATAAGGTGCAAATTCGAAGTTGAGCGTCTCCAACCAAAACTGAATGAGCTAATATAGGCGACATACACAGTGCGTCTGACTCGCAAGACATTTGTATACGTGTTGACTCCCCTTCGACCACACACAGTTGAATCATTCAGAGTCATGCCAGGAGTCATGTCGGTGTAACTAACACATATTTATTTTCACAAACACATCCAAACCGACTCACGAGTCAAATGCACGGTGTATGCCGCCTATTATACTTCATACACAAAAATTTTGTCAGTCTGGTACTTACTAGGCAGCCATGTTTTTAACTGGCGGAGGGTTGAAAAACTTATTTCTGAAGTAGCGTCACTATTTAGCTTGAAGTGTGTCCCTGCATTCCGGCTTTGTAAATCAATGGAAAAGAATATTCACCACAGTTACCAAGCTCTTCACGTTGCACACAAGAGTATTTGTATAATAAAACCAGAAAAAATTCAGATTTATCAACTTTGAAATTCTCTTTAAAAATATTATTTTGCATGCTATAAAACCGATCTATCTTCTGGAAGGATTTTTGAGTAAGTCAAATAGAACATAGAACTATTGGAAACGGGGCTATGGAATATTTAATTTTAGCAACAATTTAGAATAAAATACAGTCATATTGTTTGCTTGTCGAGCCTTGGCAAGCAATATTCTTTTATAGGGACATATTTTGGATCCTTGGTTATAAACCTCTATTAGAAAACTGTCCGCTTACGTCTGCTTTCTGCGCTATTTAAAGTCTATTTAAAGTCGAAGTTTAAGATCCTTCAAAAGGGATTCCAAGCAGAAATGTTCAACGACTAGTTATACGAAGACTCGATGAGGGCATATTAGAAATCTGTTAGTCTGATCTAATATAATTTGTCAAAGATTCGGTGCAAAAACTTGATGCACCGCTAGTTTATTCCTTCTGTTTCTTCATCAGTAAAAGTAACTTAAAAATATAAGAAAACGAATGCGGAAAAGTGCGCTCGATACTCAAATGCTTTCGTCGGAGCTAAGTACCGAGATTTACGGAATTTGTATGTCCTCAAATTTCAGTGCCCTCGGAAGATCATTAGAAAGACTATGAAACTAAACAATAACAACCTCTACTCAACTTCGACGAGAACCTATGGGTCTTTGGCATACTGTACTGCATTATTTTGAAGTGAAAACTACTTTAGCGGGGGAGTGATTTGAAACTCGATGAAACGAAAAACGTGACAACAACAGAAAAAACAATAGGCATTTGTACGTTATTTGCCTTTAAGTGTGTAGTTATGTATGTATGTTTGCTCATAGAATTCCAGTCTCGAAGTCAAATTGAAGTGATTTTGTTTTTGTTTTCTTCGCTTTTATTGTCGCTTTGCCGGCGGCGCCATAATGCAGCTATACGAATGTATGTACAGCATAGCGACGAATAACTCTTACCCAGGTTTTTTTTGAGAAATAAAAGGGTCCTTTATAGATTTTGCGAAAAAAGTATTTTATTGTTAATTTTCCACAGATTT